AGAATTTGTTCCATTTGTTCTCTAGATGATGCGAACCAGTTTGTATCATCTACGTATGCTGCCACTGACATTTTTAACACCAAATAACTTTGTGTACCAAAGTGTAAATTGCTGGTCCAGTTTTCTTTCATTTTATAGTCAAATTTAGATTCTGCAATTTTACTAATTAAAGGATCATAGAAGATTCTCCACAGAAGTAGTGATATTATAGTAATTATATCAAGTTAGTTTCTACTTTTGGCTAGCAAGTACATTCCTATCTTCTTTTTTTTTTAGTATAGTATCTTCCTGCTTTAATTTTAAAAACATTTTTCATGGTGTTAACCAAAATATTAGTATTATCTAATGCAATTAGCATACCAATTTCTTCCTCTAAACCAGAAATATACATTCGAGTAGTATATTCCTCTGGTGGTGCTTTGATAAGGTCTACTTTAGCCAATAAGCGTTTAAATCTTGTGAAGTATTCACATACTTTTTCATTTTTTTCTTATCTGATATTGTGTAATTCATAATGCCATTTATTTCTATTTTTCAAGATTGTAAATTGTTTGATGAAAAAGGGTTTGAAAGATTTATTGGCATTAATGATATTATTTCAATAATTGATATTGGTATTAATATCATTATACTATTGTGCAGCAACTCCCTTAAGAAAACAGTGGCTATTTGTAATTTTCAATTATTGGACCAGTTGTTGGCACTAGTGGTCCTGTTAAAGTTAACAATTTATTCAGTGGGATCTTCAGTAGCTTTTCCATGGAACAGTTCTATTAGAAACACATGTGTTTCAGATTTCATTGATTAAACAGTTTCTTTAAATCCATCAGTTACTTTTTTAAGCTCTTTTAATTGGTCTTGTGTTAAAACCATATTTGATTCAATAGTATTTGAAGAAGTTAAAGATAGTGTAGTTCTGGAAGTACTTGGGAAAGTTTGAAGTGTATTTATAAGTGCAAAAATAGAGGTAGGTATATGGGGTTTATGTTGTAGTTGCTTATGTTTATTGATTTGTTTCTGGAAATTGTTTATGATAGAATTTCTAATTTTTTGAAATTTTTCATATACTATGTTAAAAATTAAATTTGTTATAGTAGTAAGTATATTTGTACATTCTTCTTCTCAAAGTTTTGTGACTAATTGGTCAGTGTATTCGATGATTTTACTTGAATAGAATTTTGTGAAGTAGCTAGCATACCAAATTCAAAATATTTTAAAATATTTTGTGGGTTTGTAGAGGTGGAGTATAACAGAGATTACAGTGCTTGAAATATGATGTTTTTGTTCGTGTTGTCTTGTTTTGTATAGATGTTTTTCCAATAATTTGTATGTGGTCATTAACTTTTAGTTTGGGACTTTCTAATCTCTATTTACTTTCTTTGGAATATTAAAGAAGTTTTGACCATTATCTATTAAGATGTTGTCTCAGATCCACATGTGATGTTTATTTGATCCAAATGGTCTTTTACACAGTTTAAATCCTTAAAGGTATAGGTAATTTCATAGTTAGGATCTTTTTCTTGTCTTTTCAGTTCTCGGTCAACAATTTTCTCTACTACTTTATCTTTAAGTTCAATTGCTTTTTCTACACAGATATTTCTTGCTTTCATTTTCATAAATCTAAAAGAAAAAAGGGAATCTACTACTAAAAATTAATTTAATTCAGAAATTTGTTTTAAAATTACTATGCAAATATCTCTAGTGTTAAAAAGATAATGAAGTTGAACTTTAATTTGTTCTAATTTTTCAAGTTGTTGGGATTGAAAGTGTATGGGTAATTATTACTAGCTTGTTGAACTATTTCTTTTACTCAGTTATTATATTCAAGGGAAAATGTATTAACTAAACTATTCAATTGTATAATATTATTCATATAAACTAATAAACTATTTTGCAAATCTAAATATTATTCAAAAAAGAATTCAAATTTCACAAAACTAATAACTAAAATACTAATAAAATATTTACTAATCAAAATAAAAAAGAGTTTGATATTTCACAGTTACCACCAAATTGTTATCTGTGTAAACTTTCTGCAATTTACAGAGATAATGGTGTAAAATAATACTAAAACTAATAAACCAAACTAAGTATAACTATAAGAATACTAATCTCAAAATAAAATAATCACAATACAAGGGTTTATATGTAGAAGGAATTAAGTATGATCAATTATGAAAGAGGCATGTTTACTATTAACAGTGGTATGAAGACTTGTTAATAGGAGCAAACAGTTTATCAATTATTAAAGAATACAATAAACAAGGAACTCAAAGGATTTTGTAATATTAACCTTACTTAACAAATTCTAGCTAATTAACTGAACTAAAGTAAACTGAATTCAAAACTGAAAACTGAGT